GGAGAACATAATTCTTGGAAGACTTCAAGAAGAGTTAATAGAAAGTTATCAAGTCCTATTTAAAATTCTGGTAGAATTCACCCTTGAGGCCATTTGGTCCTTGGCTTTAATTTGGTGGGAGGTTTTCACTATTAATTCAATTATTTTTTAAAATTGTAGCAATCTAGCAAAGTTGGGATCAAGTTCCTAATTTGAGCTTCTACTAAGAGGGCTGAGAACTGTTGATCTTAACAGGTGTGGCCAGTGTTGAAATAATAGTTGCTTGCAGACCTCATATTTATTTCATATGTTTCATATGGCATTCAAGAGAATGAAATATAACCCCATTTTTTATTTTTAAACAATTAAAAAGAAATATTTCTTTATTGATTTCAGAGAGGAAGGGAGAGGGAGCGAGAGATAGAAACATCAATGATGAAAGAGAATCACTGGTTGGCTGCTTCCTGCACGTCACCCACTGGGGTATGTGCGCTTGACCAGAATCAAACCCAGGACACTTCATTCTGCAGGCCGGCGCTTTATCCACTTAGCTAAATCAGCTAGGGATAACCCCATTTTCTAATATAGAATTCATAAAGTACAGTGTATAAAGACATGAACAGTTTTGTATTATTGCTCATGAATGAATGCATGTCTTTTCCAGAAACGAGTGTGTGACTGTGTGTGTGTGTTCCTGTGACTATGTGTGTGACTGTGTTTGTAACTCTGTGTGTCTGTGTATCTTATGGTTTGTGACTGTGTGTGACTGTGTATGTGACTGTTTGAATGTGTGTGACTGCGTGTGTGTGTGACTCCCTGTGTGTGACTATGTGTTTGTGTGACTCTGTGTTTCCTGGGCAAGTTTGAAGAGGACGGTATGGATGCAGGGAGTCCCATGGATGCTCCTTGGCTTCCAACATGTTCCCGATGCACATCTCACCAAAGTGAAGCAAGAAAACCTTGGATCCAGGAGGAAAGCTGGAGGAGGAATTCAATGATGCACATCCCAGCCTCAGGGTAACCTGTTACCGCTGTGGGGTTAGCACTGCTTCCTGATGGACAGCAGGGGCCCCAAGTGTGCGTGGATGTGGGGCTCCCTGTGTTTGGTGCACTGAGCTGACAGCTTTTCTGGGGATCAATGTGGCCCCAGAGAGGATGGGTGAGGTCCACCAGCCCTGAGTGAGCTCAGGCCTTTCAGCAGAGGGAGGGCCTGTGATCTCCCTGGAACCAGGAGGGGGAGGGCACCTAAGAGTCAGACACTGAGGGAGCTGTGACCCCCAGGGAGGGAGGTAGAGCTGTACACACAGCCCAACCCCAGAAACCCACCCGTGGAGTTCACACTCATCATCGAAATGTTGAAAAGACAGTGAAAAAGACACTTTTAGAATTTGTAATGGAGCCTTCATGAAGGAAAGTCCCTGTCCCTGTCACCTGCAAACACATGTCCCTTCTTCACTGTTGTCTGCACTGAGAACATGAAAAGGAAGAGCCTTCCCTGGAGGTAGCTGAGAGCTTGAGAGGAAATTCCTGCCCGCAACATGAAGGACCTTCCCTCCCCACCTCCCTCTGCCCCTGCCCCTGGGGCTGTGGGTCCTTAGCGCCCCCTGCTGTCCGGGCGCCCCTTGAAGCCTAGCCCTGCTGTTTCCCTCAGGAGGTTAGTGTCTGGGTTCACACTGGCTTCCTCTCACTGTGTCTCGCACAGTAATACACAGCCGTGTCCTCGATGGTCACGGAGCTCAGCTGCAGGGAGAACTGGTTCCTGGCCGTGTCAACAGTGATGGAGATGCGGCCGTGGAAGGCTGGGTTGTAGCTTGTGCCCCCTGACCAGTACCCCATCCACTGCAAACCTTTCCCTGGGGGCTAGCGGATCCAGATCCAGTAGTCACTGCTGGTGACTGAGCCCCCCGACACGGTGCAGGTGAGGGAGAGGGTCTGTGAGGGCTTCACCAGTCCTGAGCCTGACTCCTGCAGCTGCACCTGGGACAGGACACCTGGGACAGAGAGAACACTGACTCCTGGGCTCAGATGCAGGGTCCCCATCTCCTCATGTCTAAGCCCTGAGTCACTCACATCTGGGAGCTGACAGCAGGAAGAGGAAGAGCCACATGGGAGTCATGTCTTGCAGGTGAAGTCCTCTTCCCCCAGAAAGTATTCTTGAGGGTGAGGAGGCCCTGAATTTAAGTGGACACCAACTGTGTGTGTGTGTGTCTGGTGGCCGTTTGGGCATTTGCATATGGGAGGTGTCTGCACATACAAAGGGCAAGAGGTGAGGGAGGTCCTGGTCTCTGGGGCTTCTCTTGGAAGGAGTTGCTGCCTGTGCCCTCAGAGAACCAGTCCCTTTTTGGGGTCCTGGTCACCGTTCCCAGGGATCTCTTCTTCCACACCAGGGGTTATAATGCAGGAGATGGTCAGGAAGTAGGATGTGGGCACAATCAGTGACTCCTTAGGGATAATATCAATGAGGCTCTGCTCTCATGGATATAGATAGATAGATGGATATAGATATAGATGACATAGATATAGATTATACGTAAGATATAGATATAAATATAGTTATGTATATCGATATAGATAGATCATGGTGCCCCCCCATCAATTGCCCTGCAGAAGATGGCCTGGGCCTCCCTCTGTGTGACGATCATGGCACGATCTCTGAGCCCCCGATCATTGCATCACACCAGCGTTGGTGGGCCTGGTGCCAGTTCGTGTCGTAGCGTGGTCGTCCGGAAGGTCGTCTGAACGGTTGTTGTGATATTTGGTCACTTGGTCAATTTACATGTTATGCTTTTATTATTATAGATTATTATTATAGATATTTGACTGCTTTATTGTCTCCTTAAGGAGAAAATAAATGTGCCTCTGCTGGGATCTTGTTGATCTAATAAAAAACTTGACTATTTATTTTGGGTTGGTTTAGGGGTTTGTGAATATTTATTGAGCACCTGTGAGCTAGTAGTTGTTTTATAGGTATGGAGATATAGATGATTTAGATATAGATATAGATATAGATATAGATACAGATAGGTATAGATGTAGATACATATAGACATAGATATAGATATAGATACAAATATAGATAGACATAATATAGATATTTATAATAATTAAAGCCTAAGTGGCTCTTGTGCCCTCGAGTAATGCCCTCACATCATCACAATATGGCCAACACCATATAATCACAAGATGGCTGCCCCATTTAGTCACAAGAAGGCTACCACAAGATGACCACCACAAGATGGCCACCACAAGATGGCTGGCAGGGGAGGGTAGTTGTGTTGATCAGGCCAGCAGGGGAGTAGTTAGGAATCAGAAGAAAGAGAGAAATATCAATGGTGACAGACAATCATTGTTTGACTGCCTCCTGCATGTCTCACACTGGAGATGTTGTCGGCAACCTGAACATGTGCCCTGACCAGGAATGGAACAGTGACCTCCTGGTTCATAGGTTGATGCTCAACCACTGAGCCATGCTGGCTGGGCTGTTTCTGCACTGTTTGGATTCACAGAGCTCCCTGTGTACCTGGGCTCTGGTCAGCGGGACTTTGGCAACATTATAGATGACCGGGTTCCAGCCCTTCCCTCACTTCCCTCTGACATCAATAGCTATGGGCCTGTCCACCATGATGCTCTGAAGCTCAGGGGCCCATGGAGGTAGCTTCAGCACAGGTGTGAGCTGTTGGAAGTGGACCTAGGTCAGTGCTCAGCTGTGTCTCCACCAGACACAGGAGGGACCCACACAGACTGACACCACATGTGGGCACTGCACGTGGGCTCGGCAGGTGGCTGAGGTCACTTCATGTCGCCTGAACGGCCCTGGCCCTGGCATCTCAGAGAGGGCCTGGCACAGGAGATGGCATGAGGGGATGATGTAAGAGACTGGCAGGCAGAAGCAGTTAGGGGCAATCAGGGAGGCAGGCAGGCAAGTGATTAGGAAGCAGCAGTCTGGATTGAGAGGGGGGTTTATTTAAAGCAACAGCTAACAGGGGGGAAGGAGAGGGCAGACATGGCCACACGGGACATCCTGTGCAAGCCCCATGGGGTGAGTGTGGGTGGCAGTGGACAGAGGGTGAGGATGGGGTGTTGTCTTTGGAGCTGATGGGAGGTGTCTGCACATACAAAGGACAAGAAGTGAGGGGGGATTCTGATCTCTGGGGTTTCTCCTCGAAGGAGGTGGTGACTGTGCCATCAGAGAACCAGGCCCTCTGTGGGGTCCTGGTCACCAGCTGGAGGCACAGCAGAGGTGGGTGGGACCATGTATCCCTTCAAAAGGTTCTCAGGATGAAGGTGGTTCCCCAGGGGAAGCAGGACAGGTGTTGGGACACGTCTCCTGGGACCATGTTCTGAGACCCACAGGGAGCAGGGCTCCGTAGGCCTATGACAGGTACGATCACTAGGCATCCTTCCTGCCTCTGTCAGGGGACACACTGGGAGTTGGGTCCATCTTCCAGGCTCACAGAGGGGCAGCGCCCACAGGGGTCAGACGCTGAACCTCCATGTGCAGCCATGTCAGTGAGAGGCAAGAGGCTAACTGCCCCCAAAGGGCACCTCCTGGGGCAGAGCGAAGGGCTGTTCACCCTCAGGTGAGTTTTGGGGCCTGGACTCCGTGATCCCACTCAGCACTGCGTGGAGGATGGGGGACTTCTCTCTCAGTGAGGGGACAGGAATTCCTAAAATGATTTGCTTGTCAACCAAGAGAGTGAAGTTGACCAGATCTGAAACATAGCCACTTCCTGCTTAACTATTGCAGATAATCTAATTAAAGACACAAAGAAGGAAGCAAGAACTGCCCCTGGGACGCCAGGAGGGAAGAAAGCATTGACTCCAATAGAAAGCCTGCACAACCCTCCAGGGACAGCCTCTGAGCTGGGATCCTGGGTTTGCTGGTCCTGAGCGCCCTCTGGTGTCCTGGACGCTCCCTGCAATGCAGTCCTGCTGTCTCCCTCAGGGAGGTTTGTGTCTGGGCTCACACTGACTTCCCCTCACTGTGTCTCTCGCACAGTAATACACGGCCGTGTCCTCGGCTCTCAGGCTGTTCATTTGCAGATACAGCGAGTTCTTGGCGTTGTCTCTGGAGATGGTGAAGCGGCCCTTCACAGCTTTGGCGTAGTATGTGCTACCACCATTACTACTAATGGTGGTAGCACAGAAACCCACTCCAGCCCCTTCCCTGGAGCCTGGCGGACCCAGTGCATCCCGTAGCTACTGAAGGTGAGTCCAGAGGCTGCACAGGAGAGTCTCAGAGACCCCCCAGGCTGCACCAGGCCTCCCACGGACTCCACCAGCTGCACCTCACACTGGACACCTGCAAACACAGAGACACAACGTGGACTGAGAATCACATGGAAGCACCAACAGGTACAGGCACAGGTCTCAGTGCTCCCTACTCCTGAGAACGACCTTGAGAAATAAGGAGGAAAACACAACTTGGCATCAAGTCCATGGTGGAGCTGCTGGGGTCCTGTCTCAGGAGCTTGGGTTCTGGGTGTCTCCCCAACATGCCGGGCAAGGGCCCCCTTTTATGAGCAGGAGGAGAGCCCCATTTGCATGGAGTCTGTCTATAAGGGTGCAGCTGAGACCCTGGGCTGCAGGCCTGACCTTGTCATTGTCGGGGCGACCCTAGATGGGAAAGGACTCAAGGATGCTGGCCACAAGGGGTTCCATCCTGACCCCCCTCCCTCCCTCCTATCCTGAGACCCATCACCCTGACACCATTCCTTTGGGGGCAGCTTCCAAGATTGAGAGTCCTACTTCCTTGGGGTTTTGATGACGACCCAGGGGTGCTGTCCAGAGGCACCCGGAGGGGGTTTTCTCTCATTCTCCTTCACCCACTGTGGGTCATGTTGCCTTTCTGGGGTTTTCAAACGTGGCCTTTAGTATATTGAGGTCCATCACTTCTACAACTAATATGCTAAGAATTTTAATTCTGAAGCAATTTTCAATTTTAAAGGCTTTATTCTGTATCTGTATATGCATTGGTATACTTTATCCTTCATTATGTGGATGAGATGTAGCACAGTTACTCTTTTACGTACATTGATGCATCCTTGGATGCAAGGATGGTTTCCCACTTGACCTTGGTAAATGATCCTTTCTGTGTGCAGTTTAGTTTCCTAGCATATCTTTGAGGGTTTTGCATGTAATTTCATCATGGATATTGACCTGTCATCTTTGTTTGTTTCTACTTGACTTTGATATCAGTGTAATGGTCACTTCAAGAAATCTGTTTGGAAGTGTTGTCTCTTTCCTTAATTCTTGGAAGACTTCAAGAGAGTTGATTATAAAGTTATCAATTCCTATTTTAAATTCTGGTAGAATTCACCCTTGAGTCCATTTGGTCCTTACAATTAAAAAGAAATATTTCTTTATTGATTTCAGAGAGGAAGGGAGAGGGAGCGAGAGATAGAAACATCAATGATAAAAGAGAATCACTGGTTGGCTGCCTCCTGTACGTCACCCACTGGGGTATATGCCCTTGACCGGAATCAAACCCAGGACCCTTCATTCTGCAGGCTGACACTTTATCCACTCAGGCAAATCAGTTAGGGATAACCCCATTTTCTAATATAGAATTCATAAAGTCCAGTGTATAAGGACATGAACTGTTTTATATTACTGCTCATGTGTGATGCATATCTTTTCCAGAAATTAGTGTGTTATTGTGTGTGTGTGTGTGTATGTGACTGTGTGTGTGACTGTGTTTGTAACTCTGTTTGTGTGTCTTACTGTTTGTGACTGTGTATGTGACTGTGTGTGTGTGTGACTCTGTGTGTGAGACTATCTGTTGTTTGTGTGTGTGTGTCTGTGTGTGTGTGTGTGTGTGACTGACTGACTCCCTGTGTGTGACTATGTGTTTGTGTGACTCAGTGTTTCCTGGGCAAGTTGTAATAGTACAGTATGGACACAGGGAGTCCCATGGATGCTCCTCAGCTTCCAACATGCTCCCGATGCACATCTCACCCAGAGTGAAGCTAGAAAACCTTGGCTCCAGGAGGAAAGGTAGAAGAGGAGTTCGATGATGCACATCCCAGCCTCAGGGTCACCTGTCCCCGCTGTGGGGTTAGCACTGCTTCCTGATGGAAAGTAGGGCCCATTCTATGCATGGATGTGGGTCGCCCTGTGTTTGGTGCACTGAGCTGACAGCTCT